CGGAGCTGGCGATAGCGCGGGCTGAGCCCGCATGTGTGGAGCACATGGCGCTGGGCCTGGCCGCGGTGATTGATGGAGCGCGCTGCAGAGGCTGATTAACCCGGAGCAGCTGCAGCCGCGGTGTGGAGCGCTGCTGCAGTCCGCTGCTGTCCTCGCAGACGTGTTTGCACAGAGCCAAGAAGACCGATCCTGGCCAGTCAAGGAAGGTTCTGCCAACAGAGAGGGCCGGGGTCGAGGCGAGAGAGAAGCACCGGGCAATTCGGCGCGTTCCGGGAAATGTGCCTAAGTAGCGCCTGAGGTCGCAGGGACTCCAGATACTACTAACGCCTAGTCGTTTGAAGCTTATTTTCTGAAACGTCCAAATGGCGTATTTCCACTTCTGGAGCGCCAACGAAGCGACAGCCCGCAAGGAAAAAGGAAAATAAATAGAATCCACAGCTCCGCTTCTGAGGGGCACGTGTCCCGGGGCAGGTGTGCACCAGGCAGCCCGGCATTCGCTGACACCTGACCACAGGTATTTTTGCCAACACTTCACACTGCGACTCCCCAGCAGGCGCGGAGGTGGTCCTGACACCCACTTGAGACTCTGATTTTCACCCTCAGCTGCCAACCGCTGAGTAGACACCCTCCCCATCATTTCTACAAGCAAACAGTAGAGCCTCAAGCATAACCCCCAAAAACGCGTGCACGCTGATCCAGTACAAAACCAATTTATTTTACATTCCATCGTGGGCGATGGGAGAAGCTAAATAATAATTTAGCATGCATACGTAGACGTTTCTTTTTATATATAAATACAACATACAAAAATAAAGACAGTACAGTTTTGAGATTTCCAGCAGTTTGAACGCTCGTGACACAATCCCCCCCGAACCCAGAGACGTAAGCATAAACCCTCTTTCTTTTTCCAAATACTCTGCAGAATGGCCCCTCCAGAGGCGGTTTCAAGTTTCAGAAGTCAGATAACACTGTGGGTTTCCGCCTTCTCGGACGCTGGGAAAGGGGAGACGGGAGGCTTCCCCTTGCGGAGGTGGAGGGGGGGGTCAGTTCTTCTCACGGGCACTCGCACCTCCCCCAACACCAACCAAAATTAATTTTAAACGAACCATCAAGTTGCAGGCCCCTGGGTCTCCCTCTTGCTGTTTCTCGAAGAGCGGATGAGGCGCCCTGGCTTAAAAGGGAAGTGCCCAGGACCGGAGGCCGCGGCCGAATCCCTCCAGCCCCGGCCTCGGCGAGGGGTCCACGGG